CAAAAACTCAACCCCCCGGTCAAACTTTTCAAAAATTTAATTTTCGGCATTTCAAGCTTAATTCCACTACGGACCTCCAATAATTTTTCGGACACGTTCCTAAGTTCAAAATTACCATACGGAGCTATTGACATCATCAAAATTTCATTCCAGAGTCGTTTGCTCAGAAGTCAACTCTTTGGTCAACTCTTTACATTTAAGCTTCAAATTAAGGATTGTTCTTCTAATTAAATTCTGAATCTTTAGTAAATCAAACTCGACCACACCCGCGGGTCATAATACATATTGCGAAGCTTCTCGAGACCTTAAGTCACTAAACGGGGCGTAAATTCTTAAAACAACAAGTCGGGTCGTTACAAGCGGCTTCGTACAATGCAGTCTATACAAAAGAGTTATGCTGATAAGAAGGCTCGTGATGTGGCATTCATGGTGGGTGAGAGAGTTCTACTCAGAATTTGTCCATACTTACACATGCATGGCTTAATCTTTGAGACAAGCATATGACTACTGGCAGAATCAACCAGGTAACATTCCTTATTGACGTCGGCGCCGCGGGAGTTCTTCCTCCACAATTACTTTTGAGAGTACGAGGCAATACCTCGGGAGATCTCTTCGCATATTTACTTTTGGGACTACGAGACGGTATCTCGGGAGATCCCTCGACCCTTATTGCGCTTAGGCGCTCCGATCGCGACCCCAGGTCAGGCGGGACTACCTGCTGAGTTTAAGCATATCAATAAGCGGAGGAAAAAAACTTACAAGGTTTCCTAAAGGAACATTTTATGAGTTTAACAAACAAGCTCTGCTGCTGTAATACATCAAAAGTCTGTTGCAAGTGTGCCAAATGCTCAGACCAAGAGTGACTGTAAATGAGAATGTCGTCAAAAAAGACTAAAATGAACTTCCGTAGGTATGATTGAAAGATCTTGTTCGACAAATACGTGATTGGCCAAAATGGCAAGAAGCAATCCAATCCGAGTTGGATTCACTTGCGAAACGTGAAATTTTTGGGCTTGTAGTCTAAACACCTAATGGTGTTAAGCCCGTCGCCCCCGCACACCACGCCCAGAATCATGGTCGTGGTGGTGTCGTGGGGCGGATACTAGCCTCTTGTGCGCACCGAGCGTGCGGTTGGCCTCTTCTCTTGGGGCTTCAGTTGACGTGATGCATATGCAATAACTCGCCCCTCCTACATCAATACAAAACCCAAGCCAACGCGCTAAGAATCGCAATACACGTCTCTTCCGGAACTTGGAAATATCTCGACACCTGATATTGTTCTGACGACTCTGATCCTAGGCTAACTCCTTCTAACTCGGGAAAAGGCGCCGGTTCCTGTAAGCCGTGTGCTCAGGTATACCTTCCGATCGGGCAGGTGCTCGATCAATTTGATTTTCTCTAGCTCCTCAACCGTCAACTTGGTGGCATCGAAATCGTCAGGGGCTATGAAAGACCTAGGGACTCTGTAATCGTCCTTCTCAGTCTTTAGAGATGTTTTTGAGGGAGTTTGTTCCCTATACCCTTCAGGATGCATGGCGCACAGAGTTCAAGCAGCTGCGTTAGGGCATTATGACAGTGTAAGAGTACGCCATGCTTCTACTCAAATACATTTTTTTTGTCTAAAAACTTAGCCAAACACTTTAACTTTGAAAAACAAATACTTTTGACTTTGAAAAAGTTTGGCCAAACCGGCTATTAGTATGGAATCTCCAAACGCCCCGAAACTAGCCACAAGCAGTACGATATATAATTAATATAGGCTAAAAGAATCAATTCCACGAGAAAAATACGAAATTATAAGCCAAAATTCGAAATAAGCTCAAACCGGCCCTAGTCTCTCCCACGTCAAACCTTTGCCTAAAAGATAAAGAAAAAAAATCTTAAAAAGCTCCTTAGCCCTAAAATCTGAAACCCCCTTTTTGGAACATCAACAGAGGAAATTAAAGTTACTGGTAATTCTAAAATTTGAATAATCTTTTTTGATTAATTTCTGGTAATATTTTCAAATTTTAAATGTCCTTTTATTGATTTATCTTGTCCATATTCTTAGATTATCCATTTATCTCCCACACCCTTTTTACCAGCTGGTCTTGCATTGCATCTATTCATTTATATTTTGTAAAGATTAAATATTTATAGGACTTTCTAATAGGGGTTGCTTGCCTTATATTTTGTAAAGATTGAACCTTTTATAGGGAACTAACTATTATAATCAAACTGAATTTACTTAGTAGTTAATATGTGGTTTGCCAATGGCTTGGTTAGTTCTGTCTTGCAAGAGTTAAGAATTTTCTATAATTGCAAAATTTCCAGCAAGCCTTAGGAGTAGCGACTGAAGCTTGTCAAATGTCTCTTGGCCTTGGGTTTGATCTCCAATGCTCCTATGATTAGGGGTAGTGTGTATTGGATAAAGTATGTATTTTTTGCACCAACCGGACAAGTAATACTTTCCAGCTTTATCAATTAATGTTGTTGTTACCCAAATTAACTTCTTTTAGACATATAAGTAATTCATCCCAATTCTTTGGCCCTGGGAAAGATTTTACCTTTTAGGTTTATGCCTTTTCAAGAAGTACTTATGTTTGGAATATATACTTGCACCAAGAAATCTGAAAGAGTGCGAAACCAAGTATCTTTTTTGTTGCATGACTATAAGCATAGATATATTGATCTGCATGCGTAGCAAGCAATATAAACGAAAAGCATTTTGCTGCGTCTTGCATTTTCGTGGATTACTCACCAACAAGTTTCTGTTTGCTTACTCGTCATTTGATTGTTATTGATTAATGGACAGTTTGGTACAATCCCATCTAGTAGCAAAAGAGAAGTAATGGGGAGAAGGGTTCCATTCACAAATATCAACTATCCATCTCTGAATACCCTTCTCCAATTTCATTTTCTAACTTTCAGAGAAACTTTCAGGTCTTAGTGGGCGTTTGGACATAAGAATTGTAAAATTCTGGAAAAAAGTGAAAAAAAAATTCAAGTGAAAATGGTAAACTTCTCCTGGATGGGGATCATTCATCAGTTCTCACAATAAGTTGATGGAATTGTAGTGGATCTGTCCCCAAATCTGGCTGTATTGGTGCTTGTTGTGGAGGAGGATTTTGTTCTTCTCCTGGAAGAGGATCATTCTCCAGTTCTTCGTAAAGTTGATCAAACTGTGGTAGCCCCAGACATGGCTGTATTTGTGCTTGTTCATTCCCTCCACCACCGCCTTGTGCATTCCCTCCACCACTGTCTTGCAGATTTAGCCCTTGCGTATTCCTGCCCCCACCGCCTTGCAGATTTAGCCCTTGGGTGTTCCCGCCACCTACACCTTGCAGATATAGCCCTTGCGCATTCCGGGCACCACCATAATTCCTTATTGGCTAAAGACCGTTAAAGAAATCAGAGTTTGTGTAGGCTACACTATTAATTTTGATCAGGTCTAAAATAATTCCACAGATCATTGTTTCTCTTGTTTTTATCTATGATGCAAGATTTCATAATTTATTTCCTACACGCAAAATTATATCTTATCATAATATAAATTCATCCTAATATAATAGGCACATAAAAAAAATAAAAGAAAAGAAGAAGCTCACCAGCTTTCAAGAAGACCAATCAACAGAAAGTGAATTTAAGATGGCTTCTAGTTTTCATTACTCGTCATAAAAAACAATATACAATTCATCACACGATAAATTTTCATTAATATGCCATCAGTTAAAGAACGACAGATATATTGACGATTACTCTTCGTGCCTAGGTTTTTAAGCATTAGAATAAGTAGTAGGCAAGGTATTATAATAGTTATGTTACCTAGTTCATACAATTAGTTAAGAATTTAAATAAGGTGAAATATTGATTGATTTATTGTCCTAAATATTTGGACTTTCTATATAATTCAAATAAGGAAAAATTTAATGAGAAAGATTTTAGTTAAATTCAGAATTCTAAAAATTAGAGAAATAATTAAATGACGATTTTGTCTAGTATGAAATCTATTTTTAAACGGTAAAAAAAGCGAACAACATTTCGCTAAGAACCTTCATGCTTTCAATATAGTATAGATATATGATACTTGAAAACTGATCTGCTTATCACCACATATGTATTATCCCTTCCAAAGAAGGAACAATTTAACTTGCAAAGATTTCACACTCACCAGCAATGACAAAAGATGGCGTTTATGCATAAAAAGCATTTTACTTAGAATCACTTGTTGACTCCCCCGTAGCAATGACAAAAGATATAGATCGATCGCCCTATAGAAAGACAACTACACAAAAGTCTACTAATTTTTATTTTCTTTGACGAGGTTTATCTTTTATAAGGGAGTCTCTTATAACTTTATTAGTTCATTTTGTGATGGAACGTCGAATTTACGAGCTAAATAAAAACTGATAATAGTGAAGTCAAAAACTAAATACAGGAGAATTGCAATCGTAATTGCACGACGACGCCCAAAAAGAACTCACCCAGAAAGATTTTGTATGGTATTTTGTTGCTGTTGTATTAATTGCATGGCTTGCGCTAATTTCTGATTTAATTCTCTTACTAAACCAGAGCATCCCCGTTCAGGATTCGCTCGGATGAGCAGTGTGTCATCGTATTTGGTGTCAAACAGTGCTTGTCGTTGATTAGGGTATGTATCATCCAACATTCTCTTTAACTTTGCTTTTCCAAACTCATTGACCAAAACTCGAAAACGTCTCCAAAGACTTCTCAATAAAACTCGTGGCCTAAACTCAAAGTGTTTTTTCAAAAAAAATTTGAAGTGTTTGGCCAAGCTTTTAGGAGGAAACAAAGTGCTTCTGAAAAGAAGCAGAAAAAAATAATTTCTTCCCGGAATCACTTTTTTAAAAAGCACTTTTGAGAAAAATACATTTAGAAGCACTTTTTATAAACTTGGTCAAACACTAATTGATACTTATAAGTACTTTTTAAATTGATTGTACGCAGTTATGAATTTAACGAGATTCAATCCCAACCAACATTTGAGCTTGTCCACAGTGTGAAAGAAATAACCTCCAACCTAGACGACGAGAATGTTGAGTATCTTTAATTCTTTATTTTATTTTCTATTACATGAGAAAAGGGGAGGAAAATTGGACAGTGAGAATCCAACCCACATATATTGTGTGAATGACATCTGCCAGTACCACTAAACTATAAGCTTTGGTTGTGAGATGTTGCATTAGAATGTTACATTCCACATTCCAGGTATAGCGAATATCATCCATTTTTTTTTTCCTGTATGAGAGATCTGACAACCCCACTAGTGAGATTTCACTAGGTCGTTGTTGTTGTTGTATGAGAGATCTGACAAATGTCCTTGTGGATGGCAGGGTACGTCCCCCTTTACAATACTTTTTTAGTTCCATTTATTCGCATAGATGAAACTAAGAGAATGTAGCTTATTCACTTGTACCCTTACAGGGAGATGAGCACCTTGACGAATCGAAGCCACTTTGTAAGAGCATATCATGGTTGATGGATGCCAACTGAGAGAGATTCTGTTTGAAAAACAAATTGGAATACATGGTTAAAAACTCTCACACAGATTTGCTGTTCTTGACTTCGGATCAAAAATCAAAGGTTACATATAGCAGTTCAACGTTTTTTCTTTCACTTCATTTCTTTATTTATTTACTGCTTATAAAGTAGGGAATAGGATTGCGGTTGAGCACTCACGATTATACAAGGTAAACATCATGGCATACCTTGAAAGAAAAATTCATCAAGGATAGATCAAGAGGAGAAGGATCAAATTGAGCAAGATCACCACATTCATCCATATTCTGCAAAGCAAACATCAATAGACTCTATGTTGGATTCATTCAATATATGCATTTTTTTGGGGGGGGGGGGGT